TCTTCACCTTACTAGTAAAATCGGTGGTGACAGTATAAGATCCAAGTAACCTTAAAAGGAATTTGAAAGGGACACCAAAAAGCTTGCTTTGAAGACAAAGAGAAGGGACAACTAGGAAAACAATGAGAAACAGCTGTATCAGTAAAGCTGCGCTGGTTGGATAAGAGTTCTATACTGTTTGTTTCTCAAGAAAAATACTACAATAATTGAGATTTAACATGCAGAAATATTAAAAGAGAATTTTAAAATAAGGGAAATGGGGTTGAAGTCACTCGGGAACAGAAAGCAGAGAAAAAATTTTGACTGACAAGAAAGGGAAGAAAGCCAAAGGAAACGTCATGTTGTTTGTTGATCATTTCTGAACACAATTCAGTGAAATCTGAACATAAAGGGGAGGAGAAAGCAGCAAAGCTGGGAGAAAAAGTCAAAAGTTAAACTGAAGTAGTAAAACCGTTCAGTGGAAACATGGGAGGAAAAGAATGCAAGACCATAATGGTAGGACAGAAAGCCAGCCTGATTGTGGGATTGCTACAAGAAATGTAACACAAAATCAGGGTTAATCGGGAGAAACCACATAATCTCAGGAAAGGGCAAAACCAGTGAAAGTAAAGCATACATAGAGAGAAGAAGGGCATGCAGTAAACAAATCTGAAGTCACAAGAACAGGCACACTGGATTGAGTTAAAAGGCCAATACTATTCAAAATTTTCTCTTCTACCATGACCTGCAATTCACCCAAGGATTTTACTGCTTCTTTCTGAGCTGGGATGACATTACTTTGTATGCTGTTTTCAAATATGGATGTACTTGGCAGCGTAACTCACTATTTCATTCTCCCTCCCTTTGCTAAAAACTCCTAAAATTCTACTCTGCTTTTTCCCTGCCACTGAACATGAATCTGAAGAGTACGCACAATGATTCAAGCTTTATTTCCCCAATGTTGATTTTAAGTTTGCTTTGACTTAGGTACAGTAAGGAGTATTACTACTCATTCAGCACTGCTTTTATTTGCATTTTATTGGCTTCTCCATTACTTGACTGACTGGACTAGTAACGGGTTGTGGAAAGATAGCCACAACTCAGAAGGAGTAAGTAGTCCTCAGGAAAGTATAAATTAGGTGAAGAAAAACCTAAGAGGGAGGAGTATGTTTTATTAATAGAGTAACCCTGGCAGAAAGAACTGAGCATGGACTTTGGGTCAGCTGGAGATAAAAGGGTGAGCTTTCAGTTGAGGGATACTGGTGAGTCTTACAATGTAACATGGAGTGACCAAGAATGGCAGAGGAGTATGGTGAGAGGAACAGCATCAGCTTAAAAGTGGAGCAGTGTACAACTGAGGAAAGTGTGAATAGAAACAAGGTGAAATGGAGGAGAAAAGACTAATGACATGAAAGTACACAGACTGGGACAGAGAAGCACAACAGCCTTGTCATCTTGGTGGGAAATGTAAAGGAGGAATAATTCAAGAGAGAGAATTTTAAGGCAACTCCTACATCTTCCTAAACACATGGCTGGACTAGAAAGAAATAAATGCAGTCCTGAGGACTGAAAAGATGGGTTGCACACAGAATGGTTAAACCACAATCAAGAACTTCACACTTTACTCCTCTAGAAGAACCTGTAACAACTTTGCTAGCAGATTGGTATGCAGCAGTACATTTTTGGAAAACACAAAAATTCCTCAATTTTAAGACAGAGAAAAAGTAGAGGAAGTCTTCCAACAAGGAAAATGGCAAGCAGCTTTATTTCAAGATCAGATTTAACAAAAAGCTTCTGATTTTTATAACAGGAAAGAGTCTGACAAGATAACAAATGAAGATTTTAATAAGATATTTACAAAAAACTGATGTATGCCAACATGAGCAGTTTTACAAATACTATGATACTCACCCTGAAGTTGTCAGGAGAGCTTAGATACAGTTTTTCCCTAATGTCTTCTGGAGCACCAGCACAAAGCCTGTAAAAGATATGATAATTCCTCTCTTCTTTGCCTTGCACACAGATCCTAGATTTCTCCAGAAGGTAATGTGATACAAATCCTCCAACCACTGAGTTCTAGAAGGAAAAAATATATTTCTCATTATCTGAATATTTTTTTGATCATATGAGGTTCAGAAGTTATCAATTTATATTTGTTTAATCACGGCTCTCTCAACAGACCCTGCTCTAAAGGATATTAAAATATATTTATACCTAATACATATTAAGTTTAGAAAAGAAACCTTTGCCTTTACCATAACTTCTCTTCCTGGCTCATATATTGCATACACACACATTGCTCTTAAAAAAAATAGCCTGCTTCATCCCAACAAGTTGAAATCCTTGGTAGAATTCCAGTAGTTCCTGCAAAGAGCCTTGGTACAGCCACCCTTACACTTTCTGGCAGTAGGTGCCATTACAGCCTTCTCTAGATGCATTTCACTGAAACACTTGGGAAGGAGCAGAAAGGTTTAAAATTAAAAAATACATATTTAGACATCTTAGGCAGACTAATTATGAGCTAACATTTTATTTCAAAAGCTTGCACTTTTTTTTTCTGAGATAAAAGTCTGACACAGATTTTTAAAGCCACTGGCTAGCTGGCCTATGATAAAATTCCTTGTGCCTAGACAAATCTTAATAGCAAGGAAATTCCTTGGCTCATGGCCATTACAGCAAGCAAGTCATTCACTAACTCAAGAGGCTCCAGTCTGTACTTATATTCTTTAGAAAAATCAGACCTAAAAAGATCACCACAAAGTCAAGTCTTGTCAAGTATATAGTCTTGTAAAAAAGGGACTCAAGTAAACAGGCTGATCTTGACCTTGAAAACTGAAACAGGCTTTAAGCTGTTTCTGATGAGTGCTGTTTGCTTCAGCTGAAACAATTAATTTGAAACACTATGTAAGTGTTGACAGGCAAGTTGACAGGTCATGCATCATTCCAAATAGAAACTTGGGTTTCTTTCCCT